AAACAAACAAACAAATACATTAACTCGTTAGCTGTGCAAGATTACTTTTAAAGTAACTCTCCAGCGGCTCAGCGTTGTGTTTGAAGGCTTATAACGCTAAAAACCTGGCTTCGATACCCGAGATAGGCCCAGAACAGATAGCTCAGTATGTAGCTTTATACTTAACAACAAACATGTAAACAAAACCTTCGTAGTATAAAACAGTATTTGCAGTGTTGGGTCAACTTAAGAAACCTGGAATAGTTCTTAAGCTACTATAGTATAGTACAAAGTAGGCTTTGTGTAAGTATTTATTAATTATCAAGGTGTAAGAAATTTAAATATAAAAGTTATTGGCACTTAACTAACATTGATAAAAAACAATGCTAAATGTATCAATAATATTAATCAAGAGAGAAAAATCTCAATTTCAAAAGGCTTTGGCACATCTGTTTGATTCCAGATAAAGTACCAGTGGGCTTATCCACATAAGTTGAGTACGTTATATTAAAATGATTTTGTAGTTATATTTAATATTTCTCAAATGACGACAGGAATTCTGGGTTCGTTGTTTCATACTATTACGCTATCCGACGATTCATTACTTTACTTCATATAAATGCGATTTGTAATAATGTTTTCTATTTAATGTTCAATCTTTTGATGACAGTTTGTTAAAAAAACAAACAAACATCGGCCGCTTAGTTCTTAATTTATATTTAACATAACCATTTTCATTGATTTATTATTTTCTTGGTTTGTAATTAAGCACAACGCTACACAATGGGCTGCACACCACGGGTATCAAAACCCGGTTTCTAGCGTGGTAAGTTCGCAGACAATATCGAGGTGCCACTGGGGGGGGGGGGTATTATTTTCTTATTACTAAACAATGACTTTTGTTATAAAACTTGCTTCTCATCGTAATTCCTGTTGTTACGTTTTCTTTCTAACTGTTGCATAATTCTATTATGTAAAAACATTACGTAACATGCTTATTATTACAGTTATTTCAGGGTAAGCTATATTTATAATATTACGTTATCAGATGATTCATTAATTCAAATAAGATAAATAACATTTGTAATTGTGTTGTTATTTTTTGTGTCGTCTTTACTCTTGTGATAACAGTATGTTATAAAAACATCTTAATGACAGTGTGTTCGTGGAAAAAGAACAATTTTCAAAGAAGGGACAATTATTATCTTCCTCTTTGGTCTGCATAAGCTCATGAATCTTAAATGTTTGTAGAATTGTCACAAATAACCTGCACTTTACTCAAGTAGTCATTTTTATTCTTACTCTTAACAAAAATGACTACTTAAGTATCGTAGTTCGAAAATTCATGCAAGTAAAGCAGATAATAGCTATTTCACGTTAGTTTATACAAAATGAATTTCTTTTGGAATGTTTTTTATTCTCTCAGTTGAGGTCGGATTCTATGTATACACGTGTATGTATTACTGTCACTTAAGGTCAGGTTCTATGTATACACGTGTATGTATTACTGTCACTTAAGGTCAGGTTCTATGTATACATGTGTGTGTATTACTGTCAGTTGAGGTCAGGTTGTATATATATATACATATGTGTGTGTTGCTCTCAGTTGAGCTCAGGTCCTACATATATGCCTAATGCTTGCTATTTCTTAAATCATACGAGTACTTCACTTCATAGGTCAAAGTTTTTATATATAAGGCACAGTTTCTTTTGGTGTCTTATAGGTTTGTTATATTCATTTGTTTTTTTCTTTGTTAGCTTTCGCACAATACTACACGAGGGTTATCTGCGTTAGCTGTCCCTAATTTGGATGTGATAGGCTATAGAGAAAGTACTTAGTCAACATCACACATTGCCAAAGAATGATAGTAAGTTAATCGCTTCAAAATGTGTGATATTTACAAGTAATAAAAGTCTGTAACGTTATTAAAGCGGTACGGTCTAAAGTTGTATACTTTATATATATATTTATCTTGTGCTTTTCTGTATATCCAGCATCTGGAACTGAAAAAACAAAACAAAAAATATTCTTGAAACAACTGACTCATCTTCACTAATGTGTTAAAGAAACATTTACTGATAGTATCTCAAGACTAATAGATCTCATATATGTACTTAGATACACAGCTAAAAGTACATGCTTAAGTGAAACATTTGGAAAACATTATTGTGTTCAGTAACTGACGTACTGTAAGTGACATGAGAAATCGTAAGAAATCAGTTCCAAGGCCTATCTGCGCTAGCTGTTTCGTATTTTTTAGGAAATAGCCTTGAGAAAAGGCAACTATCTAACATCAACCACCGCCAACTCTTGCGCTATTCTTGTCAGAGCGAATAGTGGGATTTAACCGTCAGTCTTATAATTCGGTACGAGAACAATGGAACCTTAGCTCCACAATAAAGTACATTAATTACTGTGTCGCACTCAGTTCGTGTTGCATTCATTTCCTGAAAATTATTATTCTAAAGAATAGAACCTTAGACAAATCATCATTGTGTCATTTTATATAACGTTATCACATAATTACTACTATGCCTGGTTACTTTGACGTGATATCAAGATATGTGGTTGAAAATAATTGAAACCCTTTGGTTTTCTATTATTGTATTACGTTATTATATGTGACAAGCACTTCAAATGAAAACAATGAACAACTCAACTTCAGAAAAATGTTGATTTAACTCTTTTCAAATTTAGTGGATTTCATCAATTTAAGTAAGGAAGTGTCGTCGACTTATCTTAACCCTTCAACTGCGGTTGACATCATATGATAGAAGCATTTTACGCGCAACATTTTGAATGGTCCGCAGCAAAAAAATCGCGAATCTTTGCGCATGGGGTAGTAGGCAGATTTACACAAGCCGCAAACGAAGGGTTAAAGATCTATTTGTCCTGATTGTAAAAAATAATATGTTGAAAGTCAAAATATTAAAATTTTATAGTTGTTGAGTGAAAATTGTTTTTATGATTTTTTTTTATACAATTTTAACCAGATATGTTTAAATTAGTTTAGTCGATGATGTCATTAAGTTATCAGGAAGTAGGTTAGTAAGTACTAATATCAGAGTGTGCTTATAGTAGGATATAAAAAACACCCTCACACGTAAATTTTCTTCAACGTATTAACTCCAAACGATATCGAAAAAATTAGCTTTAAAAAATTAATACATTGTTAGAAGATTAAGTGTTACCATTCTTAACTGATATTTAACATTTGAAATAAACTACTGAATGTATTAATCTATTAAATTTACCGAACAACCTTTGTAAGTTGGAGAAAGATTATACATCAGACAACATTAAAGGTTATATATTAGAGAGCATTAAAGTCGTCATGAAAGGTTATATATTAGACAACATTAAAGGTTATATATTAGACAACATTAAAGGTTATATATTAGAGAGCATTAAAGTCGTCATGAAAGGTTATATATTAGACAACATTAAAGGTTATATATTAGAGAGCATTAAAGTCGTCATGAAAGGTTATATATTAGACAACATTAAAGGTTATATATTAGACAGCATTAAAGTCGTCATGAAAGATTATATATTAGACAACATTTAAGGTTATATATTAGACATCATTAAAGGTTATATATTAGGCAACATTAAATGTTATATATTAGACAACATTAAAGGTTATATATTAGGCAACATTAAAGGTTATATATTAGACAGCATTAAAGTCGTTATGAAAGGTTATATATTAGACAACATTAAAGGTTGTATATTAGACATCATTAAAGGTTATATATAAGGCAACATTAAAGGTTATATATTAGACAACATTAAAGGTTGTATATTAGACAACATTAAAGGTTATATATTAGACAGCATTAAAGTCGTTATGAAAGGTTATATATTAGACAAAATTAAAGTCGTTATGAAAGGTTATATATTAGACATCATTAAAGGTTATATATTAGACAACATTAAAGATTATATATTAGACAGCATTAAAGTCGTTATGAAAGGTTATATATTAGACAACATTAAAGGTTATATATTAGATAGCATTAAAGAAGTTCTGTTGAAAATCAAACGTATTGCAGTGAGTACTTTGTAACCTACCCGAAATGCACATTTTTAGACGAAATTTGCAGATGCCAATATTATGTTCCTAGTTATGACACTAGAATTGTGTAACGTATTCATTCTGCTTCATAAAAGGTAACATACAATACCTGATGTTCACATCCTGATTGGTTAGATTTAACTAGGGTTATGAGATCCTTTCTATAACATAAGTTATCAATATTAACAATATCGAAAATTTTAATACTAGTAATAAATGAGAATCGAAAAAAAATTGTCAATAGTCTGGAAATAGTAAAATATTTATCAGTATGTAGTGTAAATTTAACCCTAATTTTTCGTCGCTGTATTTTAATTCAACCTTATCTATAGTTTCAGAGAAGACAGTGACTAAACCACCACACAATCTCGTTACTTATCACCTGAAAAGACACAAAAGCATCCGAAAGCCCCGGACTCCCTTCACCACACAGCAGCTGCTGACACTAGAGAGGAAGTTCCGAACAAAACAGTACCTATCCATTGCTGAGCGAGCCGAGTTCTCCAGCTCCTTAAGCCTAACGGAGACGCAAGTTAAGATCTGGTTCCAAAACAGAAGAGCGAAGGAAAAACGACTGAAGGAAGCCGAGCTGGAGAAGCTTCGAATGTCAGTTAAGCCGTTGCTTCCTTCAACTATTTCCTTAGGTTTCCATACAGCAACTTCTTCTCTGTTAACTCCTTTCCATTTCCATGCTGAACCCTACAGGAGGTTACCACCCTTGTCTCTTCCCATTCAGATGGGTGCAATGTACACTATACCCAACCAACAGCTAGCAGAGCTTACAGTATGCTCTAGGTAACGTAATATATCTTGATATAGATATATTAGAAGATGACCAGAGATCAGAATGTCTGCCAGGTAAATTTTACAGATGTGACTTTAAACATACAAGTGGTTAGATAAGAATTATCTTCATTTTTTTTTCATGAGTGACAAATAAAAAATCCTCAGGAGATAGATTGGGATCCATTCATCTTACTCATTTTATCTGGATAAAATGATTATTGAAACGTTTTCCTACACTTCTTTGTTTCGTTTTCTATAATCTTCTGAAAAGGAGGAGTGCCAAGTTTGTTGGTACTTGTTGTTTAAGAAGTATCCACTTAACTTATGAAGAATATGAAGTTTTCAAACACTATTTGTGGTATAATATATATATTTCTGTACACCGTTTTGTCTCTAACAGTGATATATCGTTACGTACAACATTTAAGGTACAAGTTTGTACAGATATAAATATATTATCCCACGAATAGCTGTTCCAAAACTTCATATGCCTTTGTTGGTAAGACTCATTCATCTCTACAAAAATAACGTTAGTTATAATTTCCATTTTACATAAACCTATAAAGGCAGCTTACTCGTTGAAAACAAAAAGTTAATAAAGACATTTTTCTGAAAAATATTTGGATAAGCACTTGTGGTATTGAACAGATTTAAGTAAATGAATAAGCCTTTTAATCTAACAACAACAACAATTCACACTGTGCATACACGTGTAGACGAAATCACAATTGTTTCTATTAAAGCTTGTTTAACTCCTCAGCTTTCCTTCTCTCAAGATCGATTTCCGTTGAACTAAACACATTGATCTTCAATATGATCTTCTTTTTCCACGATCTCCCAGTTGAACTGAACCAGGAAAGCGCACATGAATTCAACAGGTGAACTCAGTTTCTTTGTCCAGTCTACAGCGTAAACCCGTAATCTTCGTTATTTCACATCATTGGTCGGATGTTCAATTTAGACAACGTCATCTTGGCCACCAAAGATATTATAATGGTAAGCGTTTCAAAACGAGTGTTATACGTTACTGCATTATCCTTTCGTGCCGAATTCACATTATCTACTGTTAAAAACAAAGAAAGAATACAACTAGAACAGCGCATTTTTTAACGACTTTATGGACCACGTGTTTGTGCTAATACTGCAAACAAAGTAAATATATTAAGCAATTATTTATAACTAAAGCAGATAGAAAACGTGAAATGTCTGCGTATCACGCTTTATACTATGTATTTGGTATCAGCTTAAAATCGACTTATAAGCTTATTATAGAACATATAGATCAATACAATGAATGCACTATCGGTTTAAGTTGATGGTCAAAGGAAAATGTTTACGAAAAAACATCTGTTAGATGTTACTTACAAACAAGTGTTATAATAGTAAAATCGTGTGCATTGCTAACATTGATCTTTTTCATATTATTTCAGTAGATTTATAGTTTTTGCTTTTATAATTAATCTTTAGGCATTCGTTTGTTTGAAAATAACGAAATATGATGATTTTAATAGAATATAATGTTACTCTATAATGAATGAAGGATTCGGACATAATAAATAGTTTCCATTTTGAAATAATTTATTCTTTCACTTATATAAAACCTCAAAATGTATTGAACAGATATTGTTAATATATATTAGTTAAATCACCGAGTTAACGATACAGTAACAGACAGTAACAACAAAGGGCTTATAAAGGTGGATAGTCGGATAAGTTTAATAATACATATAATGAACAGTAGCATATTATTATAATTTACACTTTTAAATTTAATTTCCATGACATGCTTTTGCATTTTCTTGTATTTTATATGTAAAACACTTATTGCTAATTCTGTAATCTATAATTAATGTATTGTATAACATATATTCACCTTGAAAAGGACGCATACTTAAACCTCTAAACAATATACAATAATTTAATTTTCGTGTCCATCTTTATAAAATGATTTGCCTCACTAAAATTTAGATGTTTTTAGGATAAGGATATAAAAAGTTCATGACAAAATGTTTGATTTATGCATATTATTACTATCATGCAAGATTTCAGTTTGTAGGCTCTGAAAAACTAGCTTAGTGACTATTTTGTATGCGGCCAAGGGGGAAAGCATAGACAAGCATTACCATAGTAGGTAAGGTATAATAGGGTGTCAAGCACACTGTACTCTTCAAGTTTCAAAGACAGAAAAAGATCTTATGATCAATGTATGCTAAACGAAAACATATGAGAATTTCATACATTAGTCAGTTTGCAATGAATGATTAGCTTAAAGTTGAACTCTAACACTTGAAGTTTGGTGAATATATGTTTCAGTATGTGTGACAACAGTCTTATTTAGAGAGTTTGCAATGAATGATTAGCTATAAAGTTGAACTCTAACACTTGAAGTTTGGTGAATATATGTTTCAGTATGTGTGACAACAGTCTTATTTAGAGAGTTTGCAATGAATGATTAGCTATAAAGTTGAACTCTAACACTTGAAGTGTGGTGAATACATGTTTCAGTATGTGCGACAACAGTCTTATTTAGAGTTTATAATTTTACATATGTACTTTACTGATAGTATATCTATACGAAACTTGTGTTAGTCAGCATTATGTATAAAGTCAGCAAGAAACAAGCTCTAGATTTGTGAAAGGTAAGGATATAATTTTCTACAATAGTCATGGTTAAACATAGTTCTTGACATAGATCTTTTACAAGTACACTATTGTATATTATTTAGAGCGTTATTTTTCAGGACGAATATATGTTATACAATACATTAATTACAGAAATGAAAACTACTGAATTAGCGATAAGCGTTTTGCGTATAAAATACAAGAAAATACAAAAATATGACATGCAAATAAAATGTAGAAGTGAAAACTACAATCATACTAGCGTATAGCCTATCAGAAATGACGGGGCAAGTACTACCACCCCCACCCCATAGTATACCGAATCTCACATTTCATAGCTAACTGAAATAAATAAATTTGGCGAAATCAAGCTTTACTAACAAAGAGGCAGAAAAGTGCAGTTGAGGTAGTCACGTCGGTAAATTCCTTTGTTAGCCAATCAAAATTAAGATCATTCATGAAATGAATTATTGGTAAAAATCAATTAGATTAACAACTTCTAATATATAGAAAAACAAGTGCGTTTTGGTAACACTACGTTTCAACAATGACTATTATGTTATGTTTCTTAGCAACAAAAGTATAAACTAATTTTGTTGTTATTCTATGTACTGAAAGGATAAAATAAAACGTATAGACAACCAAACTGGAAAAATATGTGTTGACTAGCTAGAGTACCCGTCCCCGTGGACGAAAGTTATGTAAATTTCATGTAAATTAATGAAAGGTAATCTTAGGACATGAAAAGTTGCTTCCTTTATATGTAATTGTAAAAAACAAAAAACGCACAAACGCCAATAAAAACAGCAAAACACAAAATGTGAAACCTCAAACTTGTATGTATCTCTGCATGGATCCAACAAACCTTCATGCCAACTTTGGTTAAGATTCACCAACAAGGGGCGAAGTAGTGGTAAAAAGCGCAAAAACGTCCATAAAAACCGCAAAAGGCAAAATGAAAAACTGAAAATGTGTATGTTCCTCCCGTGGACCTAATGAACCTTCATACCAATTTTAGTGAAGCTCTATCCACACCATGCGAAGTAGTTACATGGACAGACAACAGACAGTACTATTACATTTATATAGATCTCTCAATTTAGTATCTCCGTTGAGGTTTTTTGTTAAAAGTATTGGCGATATAACAGTAAATAGCTTAATTCAGAAACGATTTAAGTTTAAAATTGAATTGGTATTTTTACCTTCATGATAAAGTTTATGGAATTGGCTCTAGGCTAGTAATCCCACACTATGTCTTTACATTAGGCACATTAGACCAACACTCACTACACTTATAAGATTTCACGGCACTCCCCCCCCCCCGCCAAACCTCACAGCCCCTTGCACCCCCGTCACTAAAATCGTAATGAGAAGACAGTAATCAAACTATTCTATTTGGATAAGTACATTTTGGCTTTTATGACTCCTCCTATTTCGAGAATCGAGAGAAATCAAGCGTGACGTGACACACATTGTCTTTTGTATAGGTTAGATGCTACTGTACATTACACGTGTTAGTAACATTACCCAACTATAGAAACACCATCCACCTTTGTAAGCCCCACGTTGTTACTGTCTGTTTCAGTTCCATTATATCTGTGACTTAACTAACATATATATTAACGATATATATTTAAAACATATTGGGGTTTTGTATAAGTGAAAGAAAAACCTATTTCAAAATGTATAATGTTTATTATGTCCGAATTCTTTGTTCACTATGGAATAACATTATAATCGTATGTCATTAGTTTCAAACAGAAGAATGCCTAAAGATGAACTATAAAAGCAAAAACTATAAATCTAATGAGGTAATATGAAAATGATCACGTGGAAAATACCAAATAACACGTCGTCTTTCTTCCTCTCGCTTACATTCCACAACGTTAATTTTTCTACCTATAACATTCTTTGGATAATTCTATACAATTAAAAATGATTTTATATTCTTAATCTCAGATTTTTTTCACCTCAAGATGAACAAATGTCGCGCTTATGTGAAGCAAACACGAACATTTTATTTTACGCATATAAGAGGATTATGAAATATTTATATGAGTTTGTCAATCATAATTAGTTTATGTTCTAGATATTATCACCAAAACGTAAGAACTTTACTCATATTTACATCTCTCATTTGTTTCATTTTAAACTTGAAAAAAAAATCCTATCTTATACCGATTGCTCCAATACCAAAACAATAAACTTTTTAAAATAACTCCAGTGTGTTTGTTTGTAACTAAGCACAAAGCTACGCAATGGTTTCTAGCGTTGTAACTCCGCAGACATGCCGCTGTGCCATTTGGGAGAGGGGGGGACTCAGGTGGGAAGAAAGCATGGTTTCTAGCGTTGTAACACCGCAGACATGCCGCTGTGTCATTTGGGAGAGGGGGGGAGGAACTCAGGTGGGAAGAAAGCATGGTTTCTGGCGTTGTAACACCGCAGAGATGCCGCTGTGCCATTTGGGAGAGGGGGGAGGAACTCAGGTGGGAAGAAAGCATGGTTTCTGGCGTTGTAACTCCTCAGACATGCCGCTGTGCCATTTGGGAGAATAGGGAACTCAGGTGGGAAGAAAGCATGGTGTCTAGCGTTGTAAATCCGCAGAG